GCGCACCAGGGCACGCCCGCGCCGGGGCCGGCCGGCGGCGCGGCGGCCGCGGCGGCGGCGGCGGCGGTGGCGTCCAGAGGTCGGGCCGCCTGTTCGAGCAGCCGGTCGTCCACCTGGATAGAAAACCCGCATGGATACATCAATTGGGAAATGGATTATATACATCAGATTGGGGACGTCTCCCTGGCAGGACGCAGCGACAAGCAAGCGAGCACGGCAAAGCCGGGGAGAGGGCCACTGACGCGCCACCCCTGCTCGCGCCTCGGGCCCGCCGGCGGCGCCCCCCACGCAAACCGCGCCGCGCCATGCGGCGCCCCGAGGCCCGCCGCTGGAGGCGGCCCCCCAAACCAACAGGCAACACCCCACATTAGCCTAGAAACCACAAAAAAACAAACGCGCCGCGCGCAGGCTGCGCGTAGATGCGCCGTGCCCTCCACCCCCAAAAGTCCGAACCCCAGCACGTGAGCGCCGGCGTGCAAGCGCGCGGCGGCGCCTGCGCCCGCGGGGCACCGCACCTGGCTGTCAGCCGTCAGCGCGGGGTGCGGCTTGAGCGGGCCCGCGCCGCCGCCGCCGCCGCCGCCGCCGGCGGGCACCGGTTGGTAGAGCGCCCTCCACGAGTCCGCTCTCGCGCGCTGCAGCGCCCGCAGCTGCGCGGCGCCTTCCGGCCCGGACGCGCCGGGCAGGGCGCCGGCGAAAGAGACTGGGAAGAGGCCCTGGCAGCGGCGGCAGCGGGGGAGCGTGGGTGGGGCGAGGGATTGGGGGAACGAGCGTGCGTGCGTGAGAGTGGGAGGGTGGAAGAGTGCGCGGCGGATCAGTAAGTAAGAGAGAGAGAATGTGTGTGTGTGTGTGTGGGGGGGGGGGGCGTGTAGGTGGGAAAGGATGTGTGGTTGCGGGAGGGCAAGAAAGGGCTGCCCGCTACACATGTGTGCGTGCGGCGGGCAGCGAGGGACGGCAATGGGTCGCCAAACGGCAGACGTCTCCAGTACGTCCCGCAGCATTTCATACAACCAAAAGAACAGATATGGGCGACGTGCGCGCAGCGGCGTGAATCTGGAACACCACTCCAGCAACATCGATGGGGCCGCTCGGCGCTGAGCGGCCATGGGGTCGTGCGGCCATGGGGCCGTGCCGGCAGCAACCTGTGGTGGTCATTGCCGCCCACTACCACATCATCACCCATCCCTCCCCGCGAACCTGACAGTCATCCTCTCCCCTGGAGCCCAAAGATCTCACTGTCAAGCGAATGTGTGTTGACTGTGAACACACACACACACACACACACACACCTTGGACGCCCCCAGCACGTAATCGACGGCGACGCTAGGCACCACCACCATCTCCAAGCGCTCCCCCTGCGGCCCCCCACGCCGCCGCGCCAGCAGGGCAAACTCGTCTGTCAGGTTGGCGAGCGCCCAGAGCCACAGTGAGCCGTAGAGCAGCACGTAGACGTGCTCGGGCTCTCCAAGCAGGGGGTGCAGGGCACGCAGATCCAGGCAGGTGCCTGCGGGCCAAGGTGGTGGGGCATGCCAATGCGCATGGTGCTGGTTGGTTTGCAGGTGGGGGAAAGTAGGCATGGTGCTGGTTGGGATTGGGTGTTGGGAAGCTGAGCATGCATGTGAGCGAAATGGGTGAATAGATGTGGGTGGTTTTGAAGCTCGGGCACGCCCGCAAGACATTGTGTAACCGCCAAGTCGGGCGGGAAAGTCAAACCATACAGGAGACAGGGGCAGTGGGCCGCGCCTCCAGCAGCGCCGAGCAAGCAGGGGCGCGGCAGGGCAACCGACGCTTGCATGCAGGCTTGCGCGCATGCGAGGAGGAACGCCTACGCCCGAGCAACCAGCCGCCCCCTCACGATGTGCCTGCCGTCCCTCGCCGGGCGCGCGGGCGCGCGCGCACCTGCAGTCAGCTGCAGCGGCCCGTCGGGCGCGTCGCTCCAGGCAGGGGCGGCCTGCACCGCCGCGCGCACCGCAGGCAGCACGGTCGCCTCCAGCCGGCGCCGCATCGCGCCGCCGACTGCGTAAGGCTCGCCGCACACCACCTCCATGTAGCCGGGCGCGAGCAAAACCTCCCACTCCCCACCCGCGCCGGCGACAGCGGCGCCCCCGACGGCGCCGCGCGCTCGGACGCTCGCCGGCGCGCCCTGCGCCGCGCGCGCGACGCGCAGCGCGCCGTTCGCGCGCTTCCGCGCGAGCTCCCGCGGCGCCGCGTGCGGAAGGCCGGCGGCGCGCAGCAGCGCCGGCGGCGCGCGCAGCGCCGGCAGTGGCAGGCGGG